AAAAAAATTTCCACCCCAGACTTTTCGATAACATCGAAACTAACAATTCGGTGTGGATTATATTGGTACAACGCTATGGGGCTCCAAGAAACGCTTCATGCATTCTTTTGAGAGACAGCATGCGTACGAATGAAATTCCTTGAATCGATGAAGCTTTCTTCTTACAGATCGCTGCTTTCAAGCGAAAATGTTCAAAAAAGTCTGAAAAGCCTAATCAATAATAACAGAATGCATGAAGCGTTCTTGAGCCTCCAATGATGTTGTATCAGTATGTTTCAAGTGTTGGTACAGTTCACAAGAGAGATTCCCACCAATGCGGTGAAGCATTTTCCCGACAAACCTCACTAGAGATCTGATTGGTTATCAAACAGAATGTGTACATCTTTTTCTCGTAGATAAACATACGGAGAATGAATTTTCGAAACTCTAGATAACCTACAGTTAGCTTATCGCCGAGTTGAATGGCACCGCCGAGCGCTCCCAGCTGACCAGCATTCGGTGAAATGAAATTTGTCCACATGAAAGTAACGGCATCATCAACCTGAATTTAACGATATACTTCAAATTAAACGATCAACTTGGAATTGAAAAAGGAGAACGATAGTGCGCAAGGACACAAGATGCGGTGCAGTTCTAGGAACATGGTATTAGTACCAGAAAGTTTCAAAGTCTATCAAAAGAGTTGCAATGTGAGATTCGCGGTAGGACGTAATTATCAGGTTAAAAAAAAAGTTGCCAATCACAGTCTTCGTTCAAAAGTAATGAAACAAAGTCGAACTCACCCAACCACTAGCTTCGCGCAATGTTCCAGAATACCTTGCATAAGCCCAAACAGTGAGTGCTCCAATAACTATCACTAGTATGGATGAGAAGAGCCCTGTAATACCGAAAATATAGTTGCTTCTGCCCGCACATATATATTTACAAGCGACCCACCAGCAAAGAAGTCGAGTCCAATCATCTGGCAGAACTCTTGGCATATATAATCGATAATCATCAATGTAACAAGTACAGCTGGTGTGCGCATAGACTTGAACAAGTTCTTTCCATTGTTCATTTTCAAGTAGGACTCATAGCTTTCCTGAAACAAATAACACATCGGTTAACATTGATGTACATCTGTGAAGATTATTGTTGCTACTAACGAAGAGACACCAAATAATACAATTTCAGAAGGGTACTTTGTATACTTGGCATAATGCTCTACTTGTTCATACTGCTGCATCCCTTGGAACAATACTAGTAACGTAAACCAATTGGACTAGGACCGTAACATTAGGTGTTTCAGAAAGTTCTGTCGTTTTCTGACACTCCACATTTGGATGCTTCATTTCTACTTGAAATCTAGAGAAACTGCCATCGATATGGATATCATTTTGAAGAGCTTTTCCAGCTCTATCCAATGCTTAGCTCAGCTTTGTTCTAAACATTTTCTTATAACTTTTCAAAGCTTTGAATGCGGTATACTCGATGAGCAAGTTGGCATGACTTTCTTTTTCTAGCTTTAAATAGACCTGAAAGTAGCGGGAACAGTTCAAGATATTAACGATGCACTTGGCCTAGATTCGCAATAAATGTGCTCAGAAGCAGTAGTTCAAAAAGTTATTGTAACGAAAGCGAGAGCCTTGGATATGATGAGAGTGGTGGTCGGATATCGGACGTTGCCACCGATTAGCCAAAAGTTCTGATTGAGGCACTCGTGCGTAAGGACCATAGAGGAGGTTCTGCCCAACCTGGGCGTATATGGTTTGTGGAGCCAAGCTATACGGAAGTAGCTGGAAAGTCAAAAAAATTTGATAGGGGCGTGCCGCGACAAATCACCAATTGAAGGGTCGTTCCTCAAATTTCTAGCTTGTTTTATGTGATGTAAGCGACTCGCCTTTCTACAGATTTGCGACGTACAATAAAGAGCGGATTCTCTACAGCCACGAAGCTTTGCTGAATAGCTCGACGGCGATCAAGCTCTACAAACTTTGCAAAACTTAAACTGTGCTGAAGGAGGGTTATGGCAACTTTCATGAGGTCAGCGGCTGGCCAAGTTCCCCGTATCAGGTGGAACTGTTACAGTGGAGGAGAACTCTTAACATTATGTCAAAATTCACCAAAACTTCAAAATACGGGTTCAGCATTTCTCATTATAAAGGGACGGACACATCTCTGACAGTTGTCTTACACGCATATCGCACAACCAACCCTGCACAAGTTGGACCAGCTAGGCTAAGGAGGGGTGCTGCAGATATTCTACTCAGTATACCTCTGGCCTTCAACTCTTACTTTTCCGGGGGCTTCGAATTCCCTTAAAGACCATTCCCTCAGTTCATCGCCTCCAAAGCTACAGAACACTGAACAAACGTAACCATTGAAAAGGCTTCTTATAGCTTAACGTTAGCGCATTCAAACGGATAGTATTCAACTTGTAAGGATTTGGTTTAAGCCGAGATACATGCATTTAGAAATTCGGGGTCGAAAAACGACAGAACATTCTAAATACTTTACAGATGTTTTCAATCAATTTCTCCAGCTAAATGTGCATTACAAACATTATAATCAGCCGCGATAAGTGATAAAACAGCAAACAAGCGCAGAGTACGCCTTAACCATGATCCTATCAATTGTCCCCTCTTTCCTGCACACGCCCGATAATTGTGATAGGCGTGTGCCGTGGCAACGGCGTCTCGATGGTCTCCATGCTCTCTTGTCTTTCAGACATCAGCTTTTACCCTAATCATTAGGACTAGAATTTATTACCATACGCTCAAAGCGAAGAGAACAGCCTAATGGAAAGGTCTTAATAGTTTGACTGTTTTTTTTTACTAATGGGACTTTAAGATCATTGAACTTTAGCCTCACGCCATACGATGCAATGCGCTTTAACACTTGACTACCCATCAAAAAAGCATCACCTCTCGCTTCTTCACTACTTCCCTTTCGCTTATCTATTTTTTCCTTCACGGCAATATGTATGCTTGTTAACATATCAAATATAGTTGACGCATACTACTGGCGCGTGACTGATGCCTCTGCCGAACAAACCATAAGATGATCCGCAACAAGAACCAAACAATCAAAGGGCTCACTTGGGCAATTCAGTCAGTTCCTTCTGTTACACAGATCTAACAACATAGGTCGGTAACTATCGAATATTCAAAATGTACAGTAGCGCCAATTCAATTCAATTTATAAACAGTTTCTTGAAGATTCATCGCCGCAAGGTTCTGAATTGGCCCCTAGTTGGAACAAATGTGTTATTTGGAATTTGAATTATACTGGCAAATAGGTTCATATAGCTCTTTCGGAAAAGAAATACCAGTGAAACTAAAAATGGCACGAAGATGTCAGGCTGTTATTGATGCTATAGGACTTGCAACAATGAAATAAAGTCGCTAATTTGTTATTGTTAAACTAGAAACCTGCTCAAGTTATTAGAATAGGAATGAAATTTATCATTCGTCAAGAACCTGCTCAAGGGAAACTGGTTATGTCGATACAATGTCCTTGCCCCACCCCACAGAGCTTTTGTAAGAACACTCTAGAGTCAACGTGGGCTGCGCAACGGAATGGCGAAGATTGCTTTCGACGTAAGCAAACCAGCCCTTTTGGCGTTTCGGCTGGGACCGTATGCTGAATGTTGGGGAGGGGATGGGGTCCCCAACGGTCGACGGTTTACTTCAACTCGGTTGGTACGATAGGAGAGTACTGACGCAAGTGGTGCAGCTGGTCCAGCAGCTCCGCCAGAAGGGCTGGTTTGCTCACCCCAGGACTAAGCCTTGGAGAGGGGACGGACCCGTCCTCTCTTTAAGGCTTAGTTCTGAGGTAAGCACCAAATTGTGGCGGTTCTAAGGACCGAGTTGAAGTGGTCCGTCCACCGTCGGGGACTCCATCCCCTCCCCAACATTCAGCATACGGTCCCAGCCGAAGCGCCAAAAGGGCTGGTTTGCTTACGTCGTCCTGACAGCCCTTATATTTGCAATCATCCTCCTTCACCGACAAACAATGTCCCTTTCCATCCTACATGACACTGCAAGTATGGACGCTACAGTGTCAACGCAAGCTGCGTAACGGAATCGACGACTTTTGCGTTCTGACGCCCCTTATCAGCCCTTATCAGTTGTAACCACTTTCAATCACCCACCAACAATGTCCCCGTCCCACCCCACATAACACTTGTAAGTATGGACGCTCTGGTGTCAACGCGAGCTAGGTAACGGAATCGACGACTTTTGCGTTCTGACGCGCCTTATCAGCCCTTATCAGTTGCTATCACTTTCATCACCCACCACCCGTCCCACCCCTCATAACACTTGTAAGTATGGACGCTCCAGTACCAAAATGAATGACAAAACGAAATTTGCCCGGGAGCGTCACACTGCCTTCATCCGTGATTGCAGTGAGATTCAACGCTACTTGGCCTGCAAATGACCTGCGAGGTCAGCTGACAAAACAAGTTTCCCTGTGCCTTTATTTCGCCAATCCCAACTCACTGATGAGCTCCGGGGATTGACGAAATAATAAGGTTCGTCTGAGGAAGGAGCGAAACGAACCATTTTAATTATTTCATTTGAAATGGTTTTTTCTTTCTTAATTCATCATCCCGATAAGGCTCATGCTAATCGACTGACCAATGGAGGGCCTAATTTTATTGCTGGATTCCACCTGGGATATCTCGGACCGCACACATGACTTGCCAGTGAACCAGCTTCATCCACACCGCTTTCTGCCCCGGATTGTGAGGTCGAACTTATAACTTCCAAATAAGCTATTTGCGGAACATGTTTCAAATCCCAATGTCATCAAATTCATCGATAAGGCAAAAGATAAAATTGATGATGACCGAATCACAAAATTCTTCCTAAATCTACAACAGAGATAGCTCCAGCAGAGCCACTGGAGGCTGTGTAGCTCATAATCCAGTACATGGAACTAATGAGCTCGGCCGCTTATTCAAGGCATAATCTGGAGGGATCACGTGGATGAAACGTTCTGGCTGGTAGGATGAAGGTACTCAATAAGTTCATGCTGTCAATTTCTCTCGCTTCTGAAATGCGCGACAAGGACGCTAGGGCTTTGCAAAACCGCCTACACTGCTCCCGTGCGCAGCACTCTGGCAATGTTACGTATTTCTCCCACCCTGCGCCCGTGCAATTGCGTACCGCAAGCGATTACAGTACTCCCACGCCTAGTTCTTCTGGTCGTTGACATTTGTAACTGATGATCACCGGCGGAGGCTCGTGATGAAAGGAAATGACAAGACTAATCAATTCATGACTACCACAGCTCCTGAATATTGTACAGAGTACAGTCATACATTTCTCCTTCGGGATAGGTGACGGGTAGAGAGAAAGTTCTACATATCGATGGGATACCATGTGCGTGCTTGGAAGCCACTCTTAATTCCTCATGTAAATCACCTCCCAACCTATAACCATAGTGTGACGTGCTAGCATATTTGTAATGATTCGCATATGACAATCACTGGTGCCATGTTATGCAGTGCAGTGAGGGACTCGAGTAGAGGAAACCTCGCTTAGTAACTGAGGGAAGAGAGAATACCCGTTCGTGAGATTGTTTTCATCATGAGCTGAATAGTATTCACCTCTCACAGCCGAGCTTGTTTTCGATGTGCTGTGAGCCAAACTCCAGAGTTGTTGGTTGATTTAATCAGTACTTGTAGATATTTACATAAACATAGAAACCTGACACAAACCTATCCTTGTGAGGATGACTTGTGCTAGTGAGTAGGCCATGCGATTTGTTCACTCTTCCTGTGAGAATGTTCGTAGAATGTAATTCAGTTCAATTGCAAATATCCGCTTACGGGAGCGGTTGCATGACTGTTGTGAATAAATTTCTTAAGGCGCTAGTGTACTCAAAGGGGGCATCCTTACGCTGACTGAGCCTTGGAGAAGAGGTGAACTTTGAGGGTAATGAAAATTGCTTACACATCCCCTAGACTCAAAGCCTAGTACTAGGGGACCAATAGGATGGGGGAGGATGGAGCTGAGCATGCTGGCCTGACGCCTTTGTCCGCCCATCTTGAGTGAGATTTTACCTACCTTCTGCATTGAAAGATAATAGCAGTTCTTCACGTAAGCTGTGAGCAAAAGCTTAACTATTGCGCTATCAATGGGAAAACTGTTCTCCACGATTTTAATCGATTTTGCATAAAATGTTATGTTCAGTGTTCGCTTCCTACTTTGCTGAATAGGAGAATTTTCTGAGCTGATGCAAACTACCACTGCAGACGTCGCGGAAGTAAATGTAAATAAATAAGATCAAATATGAGGCATCCAGCCTTATTATTTCCTTGAGTTCTACCTATCGCCATTCAATCGAAAGCAGGGCGCTAACGATAGCGGAACTAGCCGTGTGAGTACTGTAATTGCTTGCGATACGCAATTGCACGAGCGCAGGATGGGAGAAATACGTAACATCCACTCTGGCGCCTCTCATCCATTGTGCTCCCTCGCCTAGTTCACTCCGTAATAAGTCTCTCATTCCTGTGACAGAATTGAACGAGCCATTAACTTCAGCATTTTCGACAACTATTTTCCTTTTCCTTTGGGTCTTCCCATTTCGCACCAATGGTTTCTCTTCGTGAGCAAGAAGCACGCCAATTTGGTCATGGTTGTCTTGAAAGCCAGGATTTTCACACGTTTCCGTGCTTTTCTCACAAAATGAAACAACTGAAAGAAGTCCAACTCACCTCAATTTCGTCTTCAAGCTTCGCTAAGAACTGTACGCTGTATTCCACCCCACCCATCTTTCGGGTATTGCGAAATTCACGAATAGCATCATTCTGAATTTTAAATAACGTTTTTGACAAATAGGCCAGGTAACAAATCATGAAGTACTTTGCAAAGCTGGTGCTGCTCAAGAAGTTCATTTGTGCTCATATATGGAGTGTCACCACCGCAAATCTGAAAAACACAAAATTAGATGTTCACTATGAATATTCGAAATTATAGATCAGATCTACAATATGCAAAGTATACCTACCTCCTCCATTTCTCTTTGGTAGAGAGCTCGGGCACTAGCCACAGCAGCTAGGTTGTTGGCCTCAGCAGTTGCCTACAAATAGATAAACTATTAACTGTGAAACAAACGGTGAAAACACAGAGCACGTCTTCTTATCTGCAAATGCGGCGGAAACTCTTGTTGGATATTCCTAATATTAACTACGGCAACATAACGTGTTGTCGCGACAGCGCCGTTTCATAGGAGTGCAAAATCAGAGAGGGCCTCGACTTTTCGTGTGGGTGCTACTTGGTGAATGGGAGCTGTTAAGCATGTAGTGGAACTCAAATTGAGGTTTTTGCAGAACCTCAATTTGAGCTCCATCATATTCTTAACAAAAGCTAATCAATGTTCAAGTTGGTCTGAAATGGTAGTAATGTAGCTAGTCGCTCTTCGATTCACCTGCAGTATTCAAAACTACACGTATGATCACTACCAAAAGGTAGGGCAAACAAAACATTTCCATTAAAGGGAGGATTCACCATGAAATGTTAGCTTATTGGAAATAAAGGTAGACTTAGTCAGGGGAGCAGGGATAAATAAGACGGCCCGAAACTCGAAATCAGGGACCCTCTTCCTTGCCCGTTGATTTGCGCATTGATGCGACTCTCATCGCTGTGCCCTCTTCAACACTACGCTCTCTCTGCTATCTAATCACTCGCCACGTATAGACCTGCGGCGAGTGATTAGATAGTCGGTGGGCGTACCCCGCCAACCGCGCCAAGAGTGAGCCATGCTAGATCGCCGAGGTCAAATCTTTCGCTGCCAATTGCGCGTCGGTCAGCACCCTCCACCCGTCTCCTAACTATGCAATTTTTCCGTTCTTTGATGACCTTTGTTCTTGTCCTGAACTTCTCCTTCAAGAGAAAGATGGATGTTCAATAGCGTCTTATTGGTGTGCTCTGTTACGACAGAAGTTCAAATTAAGCGTGGGTTCTAGCTTCGATTAAACTCAGCAATCGAACGATGAGGCTTTATCGAAAAGAAATATAAAAATATCAAATCAAATCAGAGAGAAACTCAAAAATTGGTTCAAAACAAACCATCAGCATGGATTTCGGCTCCGGTAGATCTTGACCTTGGAAAATTTTCATGTATGCCTGAAATAAGCGAACAGATTCGTTATCAGCAAAATGTGTGCGGTTCAGACATGAGTGTTAGAGTATAAGAGTCATCACCTTAAAATATTCAACAAGCTCCCTACACGTGACTTTGTGTCCATTAATTTCCTTCATTGCCAAATTACAGGAGTCAAGTATGCGTGGAACCATCACACGCAACTGCTGTTGGAACTCGGGTTCGATGTCTTCAACGAAATTAAAATCATATACGTGTTGTAAGAGTAGGAATTTTTTAAATAACTTTATGGGCCGCCACTAACGTTCTTCCAGTAAAAAAAAGGGTGAGAGCATTGCGGTGCAGAGCGCCCAGCGCATTTGAAATCTTTAGCTCATATTTAGAATAAAATAAAGCCTTACGGGAGAGCAGAAGACCAGTCAAATTCCCTCGGATTCTGGGCCTACACTTCTTCATAAGCACATAACGGCACAATATACAGAAAACAAAAGAAAAGAATGGCGTATAAGTGAAGCCGCCAGCAGTTCGTAGCTCTAGAGGGCTCCTGACAAAACTGGAACTAGCGCAGTAAGCCCCTTCAACACCCTTTACAGGGAAAACGTCCTGCCACTTCCTGGGAAGCGACATTAAGAAAACGCTTACAAATTACAGAGTCATAAAAGAGGTGAAAATGTCAACAAATCAATATAATAATGGACACAACTCTTGGCAACAAACTTCAAAATGATAGACGATAGCGGTGCTTGCTACGAGACTCTGGAAACTAACCAGATAGAGAACCATTGAAATCTGGATTCGTGGCCACTTTGATACCAGGATATGGCATAAGGAAACACGAAATGTTTTCAAAGCAACTGCGAATGTGCTGTCGCAGTTGTTGCAGCTCAGGATGCTGTTTCGCCGATACCTGAGCATTTGTGGCTAAGAGAAATACTATACACGTATATTTTGTAATGAGGGTCCAAGCAGTTTCACAAAGTACAAAACACACCTGCAACCGATCATCGAGGACGCGCTGTCCTCCTTGATAACCGAACTCCGCTTCATATGGGAATGACCAGTCACGAACAAGGAATTGTAGCGACTGAAACACGCAAGAATCAAACGAAAATTTACGACACACTAAAGCGCAGCAAAGATGGGAACGAGCGACTGAAACACAAGCAAGAATCAAACGAAAATTTACGACACACTAAAGCGCAGCAAAGATGGGAACGAGCTAGTCATGAACAGGGGTAAATATGCAGTATTTACACATGTAATGATACATTGATAGATTCCATAGCGTTGAAATAAAATGGAGGTCTATTCCAGTTAGGGGGGGGGCATCATGTGCGGTGACTCCCAAAAAGCTACGGTAACTCTGAGCCAGGGGGAGTGTAGCCAGCCTAGGGGGTGGGGGTGAGGGCAGTCACTTGACATGCGTGAAAAGCTGGAATGTTCGAGTTCACACTAGTTCGCCGAGAAACTGCATCATGATGCCCCCCTAACTGGAATAGACCCTAAAATGGTTTTTGTCAAATCCCTCCCCAGATATTGAAGAACAAGGTATAAAATCTTGTTCCTGTTTTGATTTTTGTTTCCTGCGGTTGCTCTTAGTTCGTATTGTTGCAATCGTCATATGTGCATAGATCCATGCATATATGGAGGAACATCACTGATTTCAGAACAACCATTCTCGTACGAACACCACGAGACCTCCAGCCTCTTCCTTTATGAATTGCTTGAAATTTCTGAATTGAATTTCTTTCTTTTTTATGAAAGCCGCAGAGCAGCCGCAGCGCAACGCAAATTATGTCAGGCGGTCACACCCCGCGGTGTTGATATTTTGAACACCAGTCCCATGAAAAAAGTGATTCTCGACAAACTCATGCAACCGGGTGCGTGACGATTCAATCGTTGAGCTGGCTAGGTCGCCGCGCCAGCCGCCGCAGCCCGCGATGCGACGTCGGCCGTGGCTAGAATTCAGGGTTCTAGCATTGGGGAATGTAGGATTAGATGAAGTTCCAGTCGTGAAACACGGTATATGATCACCTGCCCCTTAAAATACAGGTTCCTTGTCCCTTGCCATTATTTACAAACTTATTCTGTCATACTAATGTTATGCCTTCCTCACCGTTCCACTGCGTCTTGGAACGTAATATTTTCCGATTGAGCCAGATTATCGCTCTCTGATAACAATTCAGGCAGTTGATTAATAAAGAAGTCAAATTATTCAAAAGGACAACCTTTACATGGCACAAGCTCTGTACAGTGAGGCTTAAATAACTGCGGAGATCTTAAGGTGACTCTTGTTGGCTCACTGATGTCTGGAACTTTGGTCTTATCAGTTCTCTAACCCCACCAGCAACTTATGGACAAGGACCGTTAAGCCAAGGCCCATACAAAAATCGCCGCACCATTTGCCGCGCGCGACGCTGCCCGCCGCGTGAGCGGCGTGACCTCATTAGCCGACGATTGAATTGACCGTCTCCCCATGCAACCACCTCCGGAATATTTTGACGACAACATCGAAAAGACACGGACGGAAGATTTCAGACCCTAGGTCCATCGACGCCTGAAGTCTGGAGCTGGAGTAACAGTAAATAGACCTCTTTTCGAAAACGTGAGAGTCGCAAAATGGCTAACATATACCTTACAAGATAGATGATGCGCGGAAAATGAATTCCCAGATAAGACTCTCCATTTTTTGTCAAGAAGAAGGAGCTACAAACTTTTACAGTGTGACTAGGAGTAAGACAAGAAAAGTGTACAGGATTCACTAAGACGAAGAAAAGATCTTCATAGTAGAAATGGTTGAAGTCGTCCCAAAATGTACAAAAAAAAGACGACGGTATCCAGAGCAGATTACTAACCACTGCGTTGTTTTCGCAAAATGCCGACCACAGTCGAGCTTGATTGATGGCTAATACGAAAACAATCTGACGTATGCGCATAAAGCTAAAGGTCCAGTGGTCATATTCCTTACTTGCACAAGAGGCACTGGTAGCAAGGTACTTAGTTCTTCGCTACCTTGACTAACCGATACGATCTTCGAAGAAAAATTCAAGAGCCGTCATATCACCTTTGAGGCCATTTGCTCTGAGACTTTTTTCATTGGAAAAATATGGAAAATGGTGGCTTTGGTCAAAACTGTGCTTCAATGGGTAACGAACTGAAGCTGAAACATTTACTGAACCCGATGTTTACCCTTTTCGAACCTTAGAAGAGCTTCCCGATATGCTGAACCCTGCCAGTTTTGCACCTGACTAGTTGCAACTCCTGGCAATGAATATTAAAACGGCATCAAATCCTAAGAATAAGAGGATATACCTCAAGTCCACCAGTTGAATTCGATGATACAGTGAAGGTACCATCGTGTTCTTTTGAATGAATAACATCATAATCGGGAGACTTTAGTGCCCTCTTCACAACATGTCACGCCGTTGGCCTTATGTCGTGCAATTATTCTCAAATGCTTTCCATGCAAGGCAATCAGGTTCTGCTAGCACTACTCCTTTAGCTTTACCTGCCGAATGCTTTTAAAAGGACAAAAGAGGAAAATTGCCTCCAGAACTTTCAGAAATTTCAGAAGAATGAGTGGTCATGTTTTAGTCATTCCAATTGAAAGTTGGATATAAGTCTTGGAGATGGGAATTTACCTGGAACGGTTTGTTATCATTATCTTCCATCGCTAATCGTCCATATTCAGTGAACATTTGTAAGTGTTGCAAGTGATCTTCTTGAATGTTATGTAGCAGATTGTATATCTGAAAAATTTCGATAAAGTGGTTCCGACAGAATAGCAATGCACACACGTGCTTGAGCACATACACCAGTGCTTTACGGGTTTGAATAATTACTTAAACATGTGGTCCAATTTCAAAAAGCTAACAACTAGAACGTCATTGTTTGCGCACTACGTTGTGACTGTGGATAACGATGGATGTTACAAGATCTCAAATGTTTGCAACATTTGAATCTCGGTAATACCTTCACAAAATTACTTCACAAAAAAATGAAGTGATGACTTCGGCTTTGGCATTCGTTGAACCAGGAAATATTTGCCAGGGAAGAATAACAAAAGGCAATTTTTCACTTCAGGCAATATTAATAGCAAACTTCTGGTATAAGTGAGAATATAAAAAGCGAAATATTATGATAAGTTTAAGGCTTTTGATAATGTCGCGTTAAAAGCTCGAGCACCGAAAGTGCGGCTATGGCCCGGAGCCGCAGCTGTCGTTTGGAACCGTCTGATCGCAAATTCGAATGTGGGCAAGCTACCATATAGACCACGCGACCGAATGAATTGGACGATCGACACGCATCTATCTACACTCAGCTGTGCGATGGGAAGAATGCGCACTATAGTTGCCTTATTGTTAGCAGCATGGTGGAACCCTTCAAGTTAGGTAGCTCATCAAATGTATTCGCGCAGCATTAAAAGTAAGATCACGTGCCGTATTCGAGCCCGATTAATAAATAAGTGCTATATAAACTTCTGAAAATCCATGCTGCATCGGTGAAAACATAAGTACATATTATGCAACTTAAGGCAAATAACTACTTTATGAACACATCACCTGCATTGAAGAAACCATTGTAGAAAGCGCAAATATGGTAGCACAATCTTTGACGGTACTCTGCGAATCAAATGTACCCTGTGTATCCATGAGAATGACAGCAATCTGAAATTTCACATGTTTCGATTGTTGAGGAGAATTCAAAAACATTTAAAAGCAGAACAAAAAAATATTCCACCTCTTCTCCGTTTTTGTCTTTCATTATGAAAGGCTGACTCCAAATGAGGATTCCATTTGTGTCTCGCTTGCTACCACCACGCCAAGAGAAACCTTTAAGCGACTCTGGATGAGTTCCAAGCCAATCCATACCACTAAAGCCGTCATCATCTGGAAAGGAGCAAACTAGCCATTCATTGTACTGTACACAATAATTGAGAGCAGTCAAACGACATCAGTGGTTTCGTAAAATCTTATCACCACTCCTCGAAGCGGCTCCCATACCCTCAAATGCACTATACTTGAATTATTGTAGACGCTGCGCAGGACATATGAACGTTCTAAAGCAAAGTCTAGCCAAACCTGACCGCTTTTCGTCAACAAGTACGCTGCTCAAGTACATTAAGTATACAATGAATGGAGGTGGAAAGCGATCCGCTAATACTGTACTAATCTTGTGGCCTAATATTAGAACCCACCTACCATCCTGCATACACAATTTAACTAAGCAGATTTATCCCGCGGCAACTCACGAAAAACCCCCTTCCCTGCAAAGCTTTGTACCTTCCGCTGTGCTTCCCTCCATTTGTCACACCATCACCTTGAGCAGAGGATGCGCTTGCAGGTGTTTGATAAATAGTAGGGACATAATCACATTCACACATGACGTTAGAATGGCATCCAAACCTAACTGCACCTTAGTCTGTTGGCGTTTAATCTTCCTCTACCCCACTCCATCCTCCTTCTCCTTCCCCTCCTCCACACTCGAAATTCGCGGGAAGGGCGCTAGATCTTGGCCAAGACCGCCTACGTTTTCCCTGGTTCGCAGGCAGATGATCACCCCCTGCAATAAATTGTGCTCTCTCGGGTGTCTTTTCTCCTTCCTGCCCACTATGTCACGGCCTCAACAAATTACATTACAAATTACATTAGTGTACAAAAATTTACTATAGATTACAAAAATGAAGAAACCCTTATTTTTAAGGCATCCAATGTTTTCTTCCCATTTTTATTCATTATGGTCCCATTTCAGCGCTGCTTCCATTTTTGTGTTAAATCATAGCAGTTTGAACGTGGAGCCCGCCTTAGCCAATGACTTCAGGAGGAAACTATTGCTTCACTAGCTTTTGTTAGAGGGAGAATCAAAACCACGATGAAGTGATATATATGAGTTGAAAAGCCGTTGTTGAAAAGCCGTTCGTTACCGGCATGGCGACCCAGTCAACTACCGGACAAACTAAATAACAAAAATCCTTCACTTCTTTAGATTAGTAGGAAGACAGAGCGGGAAATCGAAAACAACTCGGTCAGGCCAACATCGGTAGCGAAGTTAAAATAGCAGATGTAATCGTGAATGAACACCATTGATTCTCTGATGCTGCGATAAACGGACTGCATCTACATCTAACGATAAGGCAACTCCACTAGATCGCTCGTGCAAGTATTACTAAGCATTGATTTCATTTCATGATACATGTTTGAAACAACATGAAATCTCTGCCTTTTAAGAATAAACGCGTCTTTGTGTGCGCCTCATTTCCTTATTTTTCGCCAACTTGGTGCATAGTTAGTCGTTTTGTGGCGCATGTGATAGTATTTCTTCCGAACTGAATTGAAAACTACTAACCAGATCCATCCGCACGCCACTGTAGATACCGCAGAAAGAAATTAAGCAGAAATGATTTTCCCATTCTGTAAGCACCAGCAACTCCAATGACGGCAACCTATAAGCACCAAGTGTCAATCGTAATGCCCTAGTAAGAAAAAGAGGTCAGAAAGCAGAGCATAGCGCTGCACAACTAAATGGTGGAAAATTGGTCACAGAAGAAAAACCCATTATCTCCACAAAATTTCAACGAACGAAATGTGAAATTAGAGACGAAAAAAACTTGAAAAAGGCCATACCTTTTTGTCAGCCACCTTAGGATCGAGTAAAATACTTTCAAGTGCCGCAACATTGAGCTCGAACGAATGATCAACATCCTCAACTACCTCTACTATTCGAACAGGATGAGGCCCACGCCCAATCATGTCTGACTGCTCGTCCTGGAAGACATTATTCCTGAGAATCAAATTACAGTGCAGGTGTAAAACTCTAAACTTAATATGTAATTAGTGGAATGATCTAGACCAAAAACACCAAATCACGGAATCTGACGGTACGCTAAGCACGACAGCACCGCTTCCTCGAATTAGGAGCATGATGATCTAGTTTCATAATTAGTTTGCTTTTACACTTAATAGAAGAAAATGAAAAACGTCACCACAACTTTTTTTTCCAAAATTATTCGCTTTTTATATCTTCCACAATCTCACTCAATTTAAGCAAACACCAGATGTCACAGAAGCATATTATGAAACAGCTAGCGAAGACGCAGAATTTACAATGGACATAGACGCAATCAATCTCTTCTTCGCCTTTAAATTGACAAATTGTGCATTGGATGATTCTTTACAATCTGGTTTCTCTGGGGGCAGTGAGAGGCTGTTTGAACAAGAAATATTTTTCAGCATACTCTTGTTTTGATGAATTACACCACTGTATTTGTACGCAATGTTGCGAGGGTAGTCACATCAGAGGGCGACGAACTGGATCAGAAGTACGAAGTCGAACTAAAACGGAATCACAGAGGTTGGGGAGATAGCACTCGGCACCATCCATTTCACTACTGCCATCTTATGGTTAGCTGTTTCGGAGAAGACGACTAAATCGGGATTTCAAAGCTTGTAGGCCCAGCTTAAAGAAAAGCTCTGATTCAGTAAAGCTTAGTTTTCCCTAACTGACTCGTTCAGGACGTAAAGACAGAAGCGGTGTCATAGCAAATAACACATCTGTAACTATTACTACGCATTCATTAGGAGAGCAATACTCTTTAGATATGTGAAAAAACACACGTATAGAATCGTGTAATCGTGCATACATTTAATTCACTCCGTATCCGAAATTTGAAATTTCTGCTACGAAGTATGTCTAGCTGCTCTTTATAAATGTTGAAAACGAATTTATTAGGCTTATAGTTTGCTGATCAGCATATATTAGGTTGTCTCATAAATAGTGTCGCTTTTTTTCAACCAAAAATTTTCATCTAAATCCCATGCTTTTACATCATATACCATTCGAAAGAGAATTGTCTGCTCTACAAGATGCTATGTTCCTCTTCCACCTCTGTTCCAGGGTTTTCAAATTTTAGGCCTGCGAAATGGGAGGTCCAGCCGACAAAAATTGACCAAACCGACAACTAGCTCTAACTTTATTTTCCCTGGGAGAAATCAATCAATGATGTACCCTCTACTTACTCATGACCTCTTCTAAACATTCCACTCTTAGGTTGCCGAAAAAGCTTTGTTTCTTTTCGAATTGGCTGACCGATAAGCCATAGCAATTTTCAAATTAAAATTGTTCCTCGTAAACGCCATTGTTTCATATCGAGTGGTGTTCCTTTTGTGAGCACTTCTTCTGCTCTATTCGCTCATTTGTTTTGTTTTTATGTTTGTTGGGAATTAGTTCGAATTTTAGGTGTTTAGGAATAAGGTGTTTTATCCACGAAAGTGACCGCATTTCTTTGAAAAAATTATCCCTGAGAAGATGAGAAAATCAACCAGGCGTACATTCCTAACTTAGTCATGACTTGTTCTTTAAATTCTACTAGTTTTTCAATGTCTCGGCTATAAAAAAATTTCGACCTAGATCTCAGGTAATGGTGCTCGACCGTCGAGTTCTGGTTGAAAAACCAGGTCTGGAAATGGAACGACGCGACTTGTTGGGAAACCTAATAGTGTAATGTTAGAAGAGGTCATGTATAAGTAGAGGGTACATCATTGATTGATTTCTCCCAAGGGAAGATAAAGTTAGAGATAGTTGTCGGTTTGGTCAATTTTTGTCGGCTGGACCTCCCATTTCGCAGGCCTAAAATTTGAAAACCCTGGAACAGAGGTGGAAGAGAACATAGCATCTTGTAGAGCAGACAATTCTCTTTCGAATGGTATATAACACGATGTAAAAGCATGGGATTTAGATGAAAATTTTTGGTTGAAAAAAAGCGACACTACTTATGAGACAACCTAATAGTTGCAACAAAGCACAGTACTACGGGTTTTTGTAGACCCACCCACAATCGGTGATCTACATAGGATAGATTTCCGAATATTTGCTTCTGATGATTCTGATCTAATACCATCTTCTTGAAAAGAACACATGACACATAAGATATATTTATATGCAAAATGGTCGGTAAGAAAGCGACCAAACAAAGTATGAGTAAACTCTGGTCCCAGGCAAAAGACGAGTTTAAAAAACCTAGGACATTGAGAAAAAATAGAGAAAAATCTGGCATGAAAGTTCATCTTAAGCCATTGCAAACCGCCACAGCTGCATCGCTGCATCCGTTGTTTTCGATAATTGAGATCAAGAATGAAGGGAACTTTGTACCATGAACAAAAGGACGAGTAATTCAAGCTCCTTTGATTTCGTATGGAAGCGTGATGCACCAGGGCGGCACACGATTTGTAATGGGCTAACGAAGCCGAAAGAGAAAAAAAAACAGCTGAAATAAATCACCTCGCTCTTTAGTGAGATGGGATCTCCTTCCAAACGAACTTCGCCCATTGTGAGAACCTGAAAGAATAGCATTTGAATTGGTACTTCTTCCTAAAGGTACAGGTGCGCTTTACAACAACCACAAATAGTAACAATGAAATAATGAGGAAAAGGGAGACATAACAGGAAGCCAACCACGTTCAAAAAGGAGCGTTCACTCACCACACTACAACACGGATATAGGAAGAACCGAGAAGCAAAAGCTAAGTAAATGAAACGTGCGTGCAAAATGATGCAAAATATTAAAATAAACCGCAAAATACATAAATTCGCGATCTGACATGCCTTTCAGACATAATGACGAAACAGACAGGAATATAAATAAAGCTCTATTAGCTCGATTAACTGGGGGCCACGCGCAGAAGTTAATAATACACCGGATATAGAACTTAGACTCCTCTCCAACTTTGAGTGGAAGAGAAATGTAGTTGCAGCAGATGAGCTGCCCAACAGCCGTAACAGTCCCTACACTTCGACACCATTGAACAAAACCATCACTTACCAAAACCACAGAACAACCAACTTCACTTTCCTTTCTTTTCAAGACGCGCTTAAAATCTATCAGTTCACACACAGCTTCAAGCCGAAAAAATCAATAAATTAGCAAAAACCATTGAAAAGTATCCATTCCTTCTCCGTCTAATAAGCGCTTCAAATATTGAAGCCAACAAATCGATTCGTATTTTTCGTTATGAAAGGACTGTTAAACCCCCAGATTGGAAATTCTACACGCTCTACACCACTGCCGACAATTAAGAAAGAGAAAACCATTATAAATAAAATAATTGAGATGGTCTCGCTCCTTCCTTAGACGAACCCTATTATTTCGTAAATCCCCAGAGCTCGGGGGGAATCGATAAGAACAAGCTCACAAGTGGTAGGTGTTAACTTTTTCTGGTCTAACTCAAAAAGCGCACAAAAATCCCGTGCTATCCCAAAATTCGGAGGCCGTATGCTGAATGTTATAGAAGGCAGAGCACCAAACGGTCGCTTCGCATGGCCCACTGGCTAATTTCCGGTCCTTTGATTGCGCGATACGAGAAGTACACAAGTTCTATTCCGGTAAGAGGGGCGTTGCGGCGCACAGTCAGCTCGATTGGCTCGAGGAGTCCTTCAAAGTTACGAGCTGCTATCAGCTTCATTCCTACGTTGTTTCTTCTTGTTTCTTTGATATATGTATGTGTTCTTGTGTTTCATGACACAAACGCCTACGGAAAGTAATATTCACCCAGCGAGCAGCTAGGACTGAGCCTAGGAGGGAGGAGAAAGTCTTCGGAAGAATCTAGGATCACTCACGAACCCGGGGTTTCCCTTCTTCCAAAGGTTCAGTCCTAACCCTTATACTGGGAGAGAATGCTATCCTTGATTTCAAACACACTGAGCGCTAAAACCGCATCCCCTCCAGAAAAAACAGCGTAGGAATAAAGATGATAGCCGTTGTAACCTTGAAGGACTCCTTGACCCTAAAACAGACCCGTTATTTGTAAAAAATACGAGTCCTTGTGTTGGATGGCACAAACGTCTATGAAAGTAATATTCACCTAGTGAGCAGCTAGGAAAAGGAGGGAGAGTTCCGGGGAAACCTGGAGGGTTCTCATGAGACTGGGGGTGTCCTTTCCTTCTAAGGCTTAGCCCTAAACATTTGCTATGAAAGAATATACTTTCCGTGGTTTTGAGCGCATGAACGTTCCGAATCGCTATCCCCCTTTTCTGGACAAGACCCAAAAAAAACCTGGAGAAATAACGTAGGAATAAAGCTAGTAGCAGTTCGAAACTTGAAAAACTGCTCGCACCTAAATGGCATTAGATCAGACTGTGCACCACAACGCACCCTTTACTGATAAAACCCATGGAACCTTTATGTATAGCTCTTGTCACTCTTCCTCTTCCCTTGTGGGCTGGAATTAAGGGAAGAAATTACTCTAAAGAACCCGTGACACCGCGTTCATACTCTAGGACTTGGGAGGCTGGACGCCACGTAAGATATCTATTTAGCGAGAAATGAGCAGATTAAAAGACCAGGAGAGTTAATCATCTGAAATGATTTGATACCCTATTGAAATACATCAAAGTAGTAGACTACGAGATTATGGTGGTAGAAGAATAGGGGACTAGGACATTTTGTTTATAAAATAAGATGAGAAATGATTGGTCTGGAGGTGACGCGTGATCTTCTAACCAATATGTACCTAATTTTTTTCCAGCTTATATCCTATCATCTTAACCTTCTTTCGCTTTAACACTATCTCCCCAACACAGAGCATTGGCGCGGCCTCAAATCTACACATCATGCGATCTCTTGATCGACAAGTATCTGACCAAAGGAACGTGCGAGCCTCAGGGTACCTACCGACCAAGACCGCAAATTATTACCGCGGTCTAAGAAGACGATAACCATTTATCATGAGAAACCCCCGGAACCACAAGTGAAGCCGCCTACGAAAAACTCCAAACCATTCGTTATAAGAACTGACATACGGCACATGAGCGCTGATTAATAACCGCGCTTTTCATTGCATGAGGTGACTGTGTAAACGGATGTGTTCATCAGAGAGCGCTCCTTTGTTAACGTAAGCTTGACATCGATTTCTGCCATTTCGGATTGAAGCCAACTACATAGAAAAATTACGAAAAAAAACAAAGCAAGAAAATTCAGTACTACTCCGAAGGAATGCCTCAAAATCTCAACATTTTATTTTCTGTCGAAACTTAGTCTAAGGAAGTGATTCGATCCTGATTACAGATGTCATATTCATTTTTGACGCTGGCGCAATTTGGCCCCACTTCTTCACGCAGCTTTTTTCATCAAGTTCGGTATAAAATCGTATGTAGGAGGTAATCGATGCCGTGATTATGAATAAGGCGTTCATTTTTAGCATTGGCGACATTTGCACCTATTTTCTGCTTTGCGCCCTCTCACTGATTGGATCGCGATCAGGACTAAGCCTTTGGGGATAGGAGGGCTCACAAGCCTTTGTGGACAGGAGGGCTCAGAGGTGGGTAAGCCACTCACCCTGTGATCTCGCCACAAGATGCGCAATTAGCCATCCCCGAGTCTCCCCTCCCCCATAGCTTTGCCTTATGATGGCGAACCTTGAAAAGCCGAAAATGTGCATTAGACTGGAGGACATTCAAAACGGGGCCGATCGTAAGTGACACTAAAACCAACCCCAAAGAAGGGAAGAACCGTTAGGGAAACGGCAAATTGCTCACATGCTTCCATAGAATCCCTTCGCTTCTCTAAGCTTATGGTTAGTCCCAAGTGCTTTAAGTGGCACACTTACTTGGAGGCCTCCCCCTCCACACATGAGTGCCCCATATTCGTACCAGGGCATCAATTACCCCTAAAGTTTCGACAAAAAAATGAGATTTTGCAGCAGTGTAGTGGAAGCCGAAATTTCTAGAGGTCGAATTCTCCCAGCTCGCATAACTGGTGCATGCATGCTCCAATACAAGAACAATAGCACGGCAAGAAGAAAAGAAGAAAAAAGGTATGAGAAGGTGAATACCCAACTATGAAAGATGTGAACAGTAAACAACAACGCTTACAACACACAGCAGACTGCCTAGCGACTGCGGTGCACAGTCTGCTCTAACGCCAATTTGACACAAGGAGTCCTTTAAAGTCGGTGTTGACCGCTTCAATCCTCCACCCTTTTCATGGTTTTTGAGCTCTACTTGTTTTTCTACTTGATGGCGCGAAAAAGCTATTGTAAGTTGGGGAATGACGATTTTTGGAGGACTAAGCCTGGATAGGGGGAACTCTGGGAAATGATAACTCACATACCCCGGGCTCCCTCCTAATTTCTGAAGCTTAGCTCAGAAGTTTTATACCAGAGGTGCTGTTTGAATCTGTTGAGTGTAGAAAGCCGAAGTGTTCCCTCCTCTTACTGGGCGAGATCCCTTCAGACTAATCTCAACGGAAACAAGTGGGCCTAGTGAGTTGACTTTCTGACAGAAAAAGCTAGGACTACACACATTGTCCATCATAACTTTTGAATTACTTCTGAAAACCGAGCAGTGGTAGTTTAGTAACAGTCAAAGGAGACAGTCACGAGCAGAACTACGGGAGTGAAATGTTGAAAAACATCCCCTAACCACCGCAGACTACACAGTGTCGGAGCGCAGACGCGAGAGCGCGGCAGACACGCAGAGTGGCCATGCAGCACAACGACAACACGACGATAACAACAGCACGAGGCGGACTGCCCCATCACGTGCGGGTCGTGCGAAGGCTGGAGGCCAGTGGCCTTCGTTGAGTAAATCCCGTGCGGGACGTGTATCTGGCCAGAAGAGTTGCTACAAGCTCGCACAGCAGTGAAGGATTGGTCGATACGGAAGCAGGGTCAACTGTGACGTATGCTCGATTTCAGGTGAACAATCTTTTCCTACCCCTTCCTCCACCCACTCCGTTGGATGACTGTGTCGATATTGTTGTTGAGCTCTACTGCGTGACACCAAAACCGTGGAAGTTTGCGAGCGAAGGTGAGGAGTGTAAGGAATTATCAGAAAAAAAAGTATTCTTAAAATTTGGATGCTAAGTGAGGTGGGTGAAGACCTTGGAGGGGTCTACTCAGGGTCAACCGTCCGTTGGACAAAGTCCAACGCGACGACGAGAGTAATGCCGAGAGTGAACGTACGCACGGAGACACAGACGGCTCGCGGGTGGCGAGAGTGAATGCCGGCGCGGAGAGCGGTGAACATCGGTCCAACGTCGCTCCAATATCGGTCCAACGTAACGGTTGACCCTGGGCCTTAGGCCGATGTCAGACTTTGCGAATCGCGCGATTCGCTACTAGCGATTCGCGCGATTCGCTAGCGTCCGCGGTCGCGTTGCGGTACCAGCCAATTGAGTGATTCACTGGCCGCGACGCGAATCGCGCGATTCGCAAAGTCTGACATCGCCTTAGGGAGGCATCATGATGCAGTTTTTCCAGAAAGCTAGGGTAACTCCGAGCCAGGGGAGTGTAGCCAGTCTAGGGGGTGGGGGTGAGGGCAGTCACTTGACA